AAAAAAAAAGATGCTGCGCTACAAAGACATTTGTGAAACTTTGGTATACCAGGTGTTCAAGAGCATTGTGACCCTCTCCGCCTGGTGGCCTCTTGGGTGGGAGGATGCTACTGGTCCCTCCTTTATACTTTGAGGTGGGGAGTGACTCCTGGACACTTGGGGCAGGATTTCCAAGAGGAACAGAAAGTCTTACAGGGACTTGAGAAGCCATTTGTGACCACACCTGGCTTGCTGTCACCTCCTAAGCAGCACCTAGGATGGCCTGATTTGTGATGTTAAGCTCCACTTCAGAAGGATTGGGGCCTGGGTCTTAGCAGGGTGGGGTGAGAAAAGGCCAATTATTTTGTAGAATTCTGTTATTTTGACTGTAATGCTTTCCGACTTGTAGCATTAATATTCTTTCCCTTTTAATAGGTCAGGAAAATAATTACCAAGAACTGGGGTGGGGGGTACCCTCTATCTGACACCACACCAGCTAGTTTTTTTCAGCGTAGGGAAAAATTTACAGCAGCCCCTTCACCTCCTCCTTGAAGAAACTAATAGTTGGACTTTACTGGAGCTTATTCTCTGCCACTCAATCCTCAGGATTTGAGTAGGCTTCCCCTAGAGTCCTGTGGCCCAGGCCCAGACCGCCCAAATAGGGGGTGGACTCGGCTGAGAGGAGCAGTGTTGGGATTCACACCCTGTGTTGCCAGACAGCTCAGGGGTTGGCCATATTTTTTTATACAGAGCCCGGATTGGGACTAGGCTGAGCATTGGTCCTAGCCTGACCAGGCTTCTCCTGGGCATCTGTGTGCTTGGGAGTATTCCACTGACCCCTTCCTGAGGCTATTCTGCTTTCCTCAGCCCTGGGTAGAGCCCAGGTGGGAGAGCACAGCTCCACCCAGGCCAAAGCATGGCTTGGCACAGGCACAGGAGGAATGGTGGTAGCTGTTGGGCATGTGAGCTGGTCTGGAAGTCTGGACTTTTCCAGTGATATCACTGGAAGGGGAGTTTTGATCCTGGAGGTGGTGTGGAAGTAGGAAGAACCAAAGAGAACTGTTTAAAAAAATTTTTTTTTAATGTTTGTTTATTTTTGAGAGCATGCGAGAGCATGAGTGGGGGAGGGGCAGAGAGAGGGAGACACAGAATCCGAAGCAGCCTCCAGGGCTCTGAGCTGTCAGCACAGAGCCCGATGCGGGGCTCGAACTCACAGGCTGTGAGATCATGACCTGAGCCGAAGTCAGATGCTCAACTGACTGAGCCACCCAGGCGCCCCCCAAGGAGAACAGTTTTAAAGTGAGCAAAAGCTGGAAGCAGTGAAACCAGGGAGAGGTTGTACAGTGGTCCTGATAAAGGTGGTGAGGGTTTCAGCCATGCCGGGGCCCCCAGAAGCCCATGACTGTATCTGAAGACCATTACAGGGCAGGAGGGGTCTGGGTGGGGACAAGTGGTGTGGAAGAACTTCTTTGGGAGGAGTAGCCCACTTTAGGTGGTAAGTTCCACCCACCCCCAGCTCAGAACCCCACAAGGTCATGGATGTGGCCTGGCACCTGGTTGTTAGGAGTAAGTAGTTACTGGAGGAAGGAATCCTGATTTTTCCCTCTGATCTGTAGGTAGGGACTAAAAGTAGTCACTTGGGCAAAACCATTATGTACTGATCGCTGGCAGCCCTGGAATGACTTGGAGTCCTTGCATCTCAAGCCCTAGTTCCCTCAAATTTTAGTGGCCCCCTGAGATAGAAAGCCAGAACAGTCTGTCCCTCCGTGCTATGTGACATGAGGCCAGTGAGTACCTTCTGGAGCCTGTTTGCTTTTCTGTGAAGGAGAATAGCACTGGACACCCGTGCAGCTCTCAGGTGAGGGTGGGTGACTTACCGAGGCCACACACCATCAGGCCAGGTCGAAAGGCCATCTTACTGCCTCATGGGGGAGCATGAAAAGCAGATGGCACGGGGCCAGGTGGGCAAACGGCCCTGTTGAACAGAACAGTGAGGGACGGGGGACTTGTCCAAGCCGGATGAGAATCCTGTGGTTGCGGAAGGGGTGATGCCCGTTCAGGGTTGGGAACGTCACTGTATGGGGTGTCGGCTCTGATCCTGAGTTCTCCAGGGCCAAGGGGCTTAGGGAGCTGCGCTCAGGTGGCGACATATCCCTGCTCGTACTCCTGCCCCTCAGGCCTGGGTCTGGAGGTGGAAAGTCACGGCTTAAGCATTTGCCAGGCTCTGCCCATAGGACCCTGGGCCCAGGCTCACAGCATCTCAGCTGTGGCAGGCCGTCCAGTCTCCTCAGCTGGGCCCGGGGTGTAGGGCAGCTTGGCTGTGGGATAGCTGGGGTGGGGGCCCAGTCGTTAGTCTGTGTATTCTCAGTTTTCCGGGCTATACAATGGGAGGAATTAGCTGCTACGCACACAGTTCATGTGTGTGACCTTGAGCGAGGCCCTTCCCTCAGCCTGCTTCAGCTGTAGAGAGGACTCTACTTTGCTTGAGAAGGATCCTCACATCTCACGCACACCCCACCCAGCTTCCACAGCACGGCACCTGTACCTCCGGGGTGGCGCTGGAGTCGGCTCCATGACCAAGATCTACGGAGGACGTCAGAGAAATGGGGTCATGCCCAGCCACTTTAGCAGAGGCTCCAAGAGCGTGGCCCGCAGGGTCCTCCAAGCCCTAGAGGGGCTGAAAATGGTGGAAAAGGACCAAGATGGGTAAGCGGGGTTGGGGGGAATGGCTGGGACGGGGGTGATGGAGGAGACTTGGGGTCAGGTCACCTGTAATGAAGTTGTCTAGAGCCATCCTTCCCCCGTGTGGAGAGGTGCCAGGTCTGTCCTGCCGTCTGCACCTGCCCCTCAGGCGGGCAGGGGATTCTGCAGAAAAGCGAACAGTGAGGGGCCTCACCCCGACCTCTCTGGCTGACTACCCCAAGCTCCAGGAAGGTAATTTAGCGACTGTCCGCTTTCATTAGCCTGCTCGTTAACTTTTCCCAATTGATTTTTCGGGGCTTTTGATCTAATGCTTGCACAAACGACACCCTGGCAGCTCCCAGGGGGGCTCCCACCCCTGCCCCCAGCTCGTTAGAATGCAGCTGACTGGGGCCCTCAGTGGGACTTGGCTGGTATCATGTGGTCCCATGGCCAGGTGCCTTCTTGGGAAGCCTGGCTTACATCCAGGGTGGGCCTGGCAGTGACATGGTTGAGAGCCTTCACTCATGGGGGGCTGCATGACCCTTCTCCCGCAGGGGACGCAAACTGACACCTCAGGGACAGAGAGATCTGGACAGAATCGCCGGACAGGTGAGGTCTGGGTGTGGGCCGGGACTGGGTCTCTTAGTCACTGCCTGGGCGTTTCCAGAGCCTGGGATTTGTCAGGTCAGAATTTCCTACCCTAGAGGGCACAGCCCAGGCTGGTGGGGTCAGGGGCAGGAGAACGTTTCTGACTGACTTCCTGCTAGAGCTGGTTAGAAATGTGGGTGTCGGGACCCCAGGCCTGGCGTGCAGCTGGAATTGTTTCTCGTGCAGGACAGGTTTCTGCACACAACTCCCCTTTGCCCAGTCAGCCTTCTCAGGACTCTAGCTGCAGTGTTTCCTCATTCTTCATGCTCCCTGACATCAGCCGGGATGGCTGTGGAGAGAGTGGGGGAGGCAAGCCAGCTCAGAACAAGGGTCTCCATCCACATCCCTGACTGGCTGGACACCTTGGGGCAGAGTCTGTTCGCCGGGAGCCATTCCCATCTGTAGAATGGTCTACTCTTGCCAGCCTCCATAGGGTAGTGGTGAGGGCTCAGTGGGCTACAGCAGGGGGAGCCCCCAGGGCCAGGCATGAACCCATTGTTGGGTTTTTTCTTTCTGTGTCATTGACTTAGGTCTCCTAGGAGCCTTGGAGGGCTCAATCACTTAGTCAAGTGTCAAAAAAGAGTAGAAGGTGTCAGCCCCCTGGGAGTCCGCGGGTTGCCTGGAAGGAGCCGGTGATCTTTTCTGCGCAGGGCAGGGCATCGACAGTGTGGATAGCAGAGCAGTGGGCAGGTGTTGGAATCCTGCCCCGCCACTCCCTTTCTTTTAGTCCCCGTTGACACTTCTGTAAAATGGGGAAATGCCCGAGGCTGTAAGGATTAGATTGGATGAACACCTGTCAGACCACAAATCCAGGTGCCTGGCGTCCCTCGGGTGGGGGGTAGCTGCTCCAAAGCTCCGGAACACAGACCCCACGGCCGATCTTAATTACTCTCCCGTCTTTACCCACAGGTGGCAGCTGCCAACAAGAAGCATTAGAACAAATGCTGGGTTAATAAATTGCCTCATTCGTAATCCTGGTCCGAGTCTCTTGATTGGCTGCTGTTGCTCTTCCCTTTGGGGGCATGAGGGAGGCGCATGGAGCTTCCCTTTCCTCGTGAAAGAGGGGGACTAGGGATCCCTAGTGACTGATACCAACAGCCACTAAAGCCTAAGGCCCAGCCTTCCCGGTTCAAGCAGTTCCACCCCCGGTGGGCCTGGTGCCCTAGCTGGACTGGTGGTTGGGTGGGGCCAGGACTAGAGGCCCTTGCACCTCCCCCACATCCTGCCTTTGCAATTCTCAGTAAGATGAGAAACTGAAAAGGAGTGGCTTTCAGGCAGTGGCCTCAGCTGGGGCCTGGGCTACAGAAACTGCATTCTGTCCCTCCTGCAACAAAGCAGGGCTGGGGCAGCCGGCCTTCATTCCTGGTGACTCCTTGAGTGCCTCCAGACCAAGGTGACTTGGTGTGCACCATTCGTTGGCAAACAGACCACTGACCCTGCCTGAACCTTTGCTCTCTAGAGATCTATTGCCTTGGGCCCTTCTGGAGTTGGTCGTACCTGCCCCAGAGTTGGGACCCGGTGCCCTTTCCCACCCACACCCACCATCCTAGTGGAGAGGTGCGAGAGGCACCTGAGCAGAGGTAGAGGGGCACTGCCTCTTCAGTCCTGCAAGGTGATTGGCTCTCAGGCATGAATGGGGCAGGAGCCTGCCTGTGATTGGGCCCCTGGTAGGGGCAGGGGATATGAAGGGCACCAAGTGGGTATGTGCCAGGCCCCAGAAAACAGCCTGGAAAAGTGGCCCCTGTGGGACCAAACCCACCTCCTACCCGGGGAGTGCTAAGATGCTGAGCCTGAGCTGGCTTTGGAAGAGACAGAGTGCGAATGGGGAAGGGGCAGAGAGAGGGAGACCATTAGAAGCAGGCTCCAAGCTGTCAACACAGAGCCCAATGCGGGCTCCAACTCACAGGCCACAAGTTCATGACCTGAGTCGAAGTCAGACGCCCAACAGACTGAGCCACCCCGGTGCCCCAACTTAGTTTCTTATTCTTGAGGGATCTGGGGAGATACCATATAGGTAGATTGTGCCATGGCTCAGAACATCACACCAAGCAGACAACCAGTTACCAGAGAACAGCAAAGCAGAGTCCCTCACCGGGTGGGAAATGAAGCTGGCCTCCCTCCCAGCTTAGAAGTCAGTGCTGGGGGTGCCTGGGGAGCTCGGTTAAGCGTCCGACTTCAGCTCAGGTCATGATCTCACGGTCTCTGAGTTCGAGCCCCACGTCGGGCTCTGTGCTGACAGCTCAGGGCCTGGAGCCTGCTTCAGATTCCGTGTCTCCCTCTCTGTCCCTCCTCTGCTCACGTTCTGTCTCTGTCT